CCGGCTCTATCAAACCCTCAGCGCCACGTAAGCAACCGCCCCTTATCGATCCCCAATCCCCTATTCCATGACTCATTTGGATGGAATGACTAACATAATTGACCGCACGTTCTATCTTTGACCCCGTTCCCATAAAAATGCACTGGCTAGAGGAGAATTTTTGGAAAGCTTGCCAACTGCTCTTCTAAATTCTGTGATGGGAATATTTGTGCAACTTTAGAATACCTTTAATTTTGTAACCCACAGATAAGCATCAAATCAATGAGATGGAGCGCTAATCCCGGCAATCCGAAGGGCAGAAGGATCTCGCGCATCACATCATGAAACCCGCAGGGGACTGGCAGCTCGGGGTAGAGGGCCTGAGGACTAGAGCCCAGCACTTTTCGGTCAAATTCTTGGTTACTGGGATATGATTAAAGAGACCAAAAGAATGTAATCACTGTGCGCAAAACGCCAAACTTTCTCTGGCGAAAATGACTGTTGCGAGGGGGTCTGCGAGAAAGAGGGAGAGAGCAAATTTGTGGCATCCGCTGTAGGTTAGGTCAGATAAGCCGACAATGGAAATTATGGGGCGCAGTGGCACGCCCAGGTGCAATCTCGCGCCGCTCAACACTACCTGCGCCTCCTTCCACTTTCAGACCTCTTGCCTTTGTCGGGGCTCGGGAGGCAGAGAAAGAGTGCCGTAGAAGCTGCGAAAGTCTACTATAACGGGAAACAAATTCACGCGTAAGTACCCATCCATTCTGCATTCACTCAGTTGTGGGGCTCACACGGTGGCTATCGTGGGAAGCGAAGGTCGAACTGTCGTGTTTTATTACCCGATGCTTTGCGTGTCTAGCGGCCTATGTTGCGTTAGCCGAAAGGGTCGGTTTGTTCTAGTGGAGAAGCATGGAGGTCAGCGACAGCCAAAATTCGCGCAAATGCAGTCAACCGGACTGTAGTACGTTCAGGGCATCTGAGCCTGCTTGCATATGAGATGAATGATCTCAAAACAGGCGGATGTTTAACAAATACGCCCCCCCCCGATGACTGCCTCCGACTGCCTGCCGACTAAGCATTTGCAAACCCAAAATTAATGATATTTTCAGGCCTAGCTGGTCACCCATTTACTGAATAGGGGTGTCTGAGGAAACCACAAATTAAACCGGCATACGAAAGGGAGAAGAGTGCCTGGTTTCATTTCCGGGCAAATTAGTTTGCGGACTTGGAGTAAATCCTCCGGAACAAACATGTTTTGGCTGATATAAGTAGGAAACATGCTGTTCTGGGCTTTTAGCTGGTACCGCTACTGTACATATGTGTGGTAGATAATTACGCAGGTGTGTGTACTAGCTCTGCCAACTGACGCATTTACTGGACACATCATCAGTCCTTATGTAGTGGTCGCTGCCTGCCCGACACCTGGCTTTCCTGTCGTGACCCCAATCCGTCTAGACCTCAAGGTCGTGGCGGACGCCAGACTTACTGGCGCGCGAGACACAGACCGCCCACGTCGATGTTTACCCACACGCTGTCCAACCAATCACAGGCCGACCTAACCAATGAACGCTCGCTCTCAGTCTACTGGCCTGACTGCTGTCAAACCAGCACTTGGACTCGACTGGCTCTCC